TAGCCGCCCCTTCCCCAACCCCACCCTCTGCTGCCCCTAGTGCCCACTGTACAATATAGTGAAATCTTCCTCTATTGCTTTGGGTGATGTAGGGAAATGGTACTGTGGTAACTGTTGCTGTGGTAACTGTTGATGAGTTGGATTCTCTTCCTATTTCATGCAATAAAATGTTACTGCAAATGCAGAAGGGCCGAGTGTATGTTTGTGGGGCTGTGCTGTAGAGAAATTAGACGTCACTCTCTGTGTCTCACTCCAAGCCCTAACACTGCTGAAAACAGAATGAGTAGTTATCAATAGTTCTCTGTCAAACCTGGAGATATTAGTCCATCCGTACTGGGGTCACGCAGGGGTCAGTCCTGGGTCTGGTACTAGTCAATATTTTCATTAATGACTTGGCTAATGGAGTGCAGAATGTAGGAGGGGTTGCAGGCACTTTGGAGGACAGGGTGAGAATTCAAAATAAACTTGCCAAATTGAGGAATTGGTCTGATACCAACCAACAAAATGTAATTCAACGAAGACAAGTGCAAAGTGCTTCACTTAGGAAGGAAAAATCAAAGGCACAGTTGCAAACTGGGGGATAACTGGCTAGGTTATCTGCGGAAAGGGATCTGGGGATTATAGTGGGTCACAAACTGAATGAGTCAACAGCAAGACATAGCTGTGAAAACGACTAAAATCATTCTGGGGCATATTAACAGGAGTGTGGTATGTAAGATAGGAGGGAACTGTCCTACTCTATTCAGCACTGGTAAGGCCCCAGCTGGAGTCCTGGGTCCAGTTCTGGGTGCTGCTCTTTAGCAAAAATGTGGATAAATTGGAGCGAGTCCAGAACAAAGCAACTGAAATGATGAAAGGTTTAGAAAACCTGCCCTGTCAGGAAAGTACTAAACAGGCCCAGTTCCTTTCACTGGCAGGTTTAGTCGGGAGAAAAGCCTGAGGGTGGCATGATAACCATCTTCACATATGTTAAGGGCTGTTCTAAAGGGGATGGGGATCAACAGTTCTCCATGTTCACTGAAGGCAGGGCAAGAAGCAATGGGCTTAATCTGCAGCAAGGCAGCTTTAGGCTAGGTCTTGGGGAAACTTTCTATCTCTCAGGGTAGTTAAGCTCTGGAACAGACTCCCAAGGGAGGTTATGGAAACACCATCACTGGAGCTTGTTAAAAACAAGTTTCACAACCACCTCTCGGGCATGGTCTAGGTTTGCTTGGTCCTGCCACAGTGCAGGGGGTGCACTAGATACCTCGTGAGGTCCCTTCCATGCCCACATTTCTAGGATTCTATGACTAGGTGTTGAATTACAGGTCCTTGCGTCTTTATGGGACACTGGTTCCGATCTGGCCCTGGTGTGGTGCACTGGCTGGTTCAGAGGGATGGGGAATGGGACACAGGGCCTTCCCCCCTAAGACAGTCCACTCTGATCCAGCCCCAGGGCAGGGCACTGGCTAGCGCAGGGAGGTGGGGAATGGGACACAGATCTTTTCCTCTCTACAGGGTGCCGGTTCCCATCTGGCCCCAGGGCAGGGAACTGGCTGGCTCATGGGGTGGGGAATAAGTTAAAGGACTTTTCCTGTCTAGGTGTCACCAGTGACAGTACGGCCACAAGTCGAGTAGCTCAGGCCTTGTCTACATGACACAGTTCTGTCGACAAACGTCAGCTTTTGTCAACCAAAAAGTGCAGGTGCATGCACTGCGATGCTCCTCCCACCGATTTAACTCCCCTGCTGCTCCAATAAAATAACCTCACCACCTCGATGAGAGGCCTGGAGCTTTTTGCCACAATGTTAGATTGACGCAGTGTCAGTGTAGACACTGTGCTTGGTTATGTCACCATCAATGGCCTCCAGGAGGTGTCTCACAATGCCTATCCTGACCACTTTGGTCAGCAGTTCAAACTCCACTGCCCTGCAGCCTGGTACATGGGCATTTACCCCCTTCAAAGGCCTGGAAATTTTTGAAATTCCACTTCCTGTTTGCTCGTCATGGACAGCTCACATCGCATCTTCCCTTGCAGCTCTCCATCTTGGAGCACACCGGAGCTGTTGGCTCTGCTGGGTCAGTGAGGAGAGGAGGCTGTGCCGTCCCAGCTGCACTCAAGCCGTGGGAACTTTGATGCCGATGAGCAGATCTCTCATGGCTTGTGTGATAAGGGCCAGGAATGGGACACGCAGCAGTGCTGGGGGAACATAAAGGTGCTGAGGCAGGTGTGCCAGAAGTCAAGGAAGGAAAACTATTTTTCTGGTGCTGTGCCAAACACCTGCCACTTCGATAAGGAGCTGGTCACCATCCTCGGTGACCCCAGCTCCACCGCCAAGAGCCCTGTGGATATTTGGGGGCGCGGGGTGGGGCTGGAGACAGTGGCCAGTGGACTCAACCCCGAGGAAGATGTGGTGGATAAAGGAGTGGAGTTGGAGGATGATGTGAGACAGCTGACAGGGTCGTCCGGTACCGTGGCAAGCCAGGACCTCTTCTCAACTCCTGAGGATTCAAGCCAGGACCCACCCTTGGTCGGTGGCGCATATGATGCAGGAGAGGGGAGCTCTGGTAAGTGCTCATTTTGAATTGCTACAGCTCGGTGACATGAGGTAGAGCTGTCCTTTGTTTCGTTGTCCACTAGAAGTGGGTTAAGGGGTAGAAATGTACAAGACTATCTGTGTTTTCATCTGCTTCACATTCCCCCATGCAGCTACGCAGTGTGGGAGCCCTGCGGAAAAGTTTGTTAACTTACACCAAGGTTGCATGGGAATTCTCCAGAGGGATCTCTAGGAAACTTTCCTGGAGGTACTCGCCGATCCTTTGCGAAAGGTTCCTTGGCGGAGTTGCTTTGTTTCTGCTGTAGGAAACTTTGCTGCGCCAATCGGCAATCACTTGTCCAGGGATGAAAGCCGCACACAGGTGAGCAGCATAAGGGACCTGGTCTGAAGCCACACGCATTCCATAGATGTATGCTTGCATCCTTGCTTACCCTAAGGAGTGAGATATTGGCTTCAATGACCCCCAGCTGTGGAAAATGGTGGCAGAATTCACAATAGTGTCCCTAGGTGCTTGCAATGATCTCCTTAAATATCCACCTAGACCCTTTGCCCCATCTTGGACCTTCTCCCCTTCCCTGGGCCAAACTCACCATGTTTAGGGCACTCACCGTGCTGTGTGCTTGCCCAGGGAGAGTGAGAAAGAGGTGTATGCAACTATTATAAGAACATAAGAATGGGCCTACTGGGTCAGACCAAGG